GAGAATTGCCTGAACCCAGGAGGCGGAGGTTGCGGTGAGCCGAGATCGCGCCATTGCACTCCAGCCTGGGTAACATGAGTGAAACTCCGCCTCAATAAATAAATAAATAAATAAATAAATAGCCAGAGGTGCTGGTTTGTGCCTATAGTCCCAGCTACTTAGGAGGCTAAGGCAGGAGAATAGCTTGAACCAGGGAGGTAGAGGTTGCAGTGAGCTGACATTGCACCACTGCACTCCAGCCTGGGAACACAGCAAGATTCTGCCTTTAAGGAAAACAAACAAACAAGCAAACAAAAAAAAAAAAAACAGGTAGAAATTGTCTAGGGTTTCAGGAGAAGGCTGATCTTCAGCTTTTCCAAATGTTTAAATCATTTTACAATATACACAGACAAGATAAATTACATTGCAAAGCAAGTAAACTAGGAAATAATAATATTCCAACTGTTATAACCTCTAAAAGCAAAATCTGGCATACAGCTTCATTTTTTACAAACATTATCTTATAAGATCTAATAAGATAACATAATGTTTGTAAAAAGTGAAGCTGCATGCCACATACAGGTGATGGGGAGGAAGGCAGCAATCCACATTGCCATGCATGTACCTATGCAGCAATTCTGCATGTTCTTCACATGTACCCCAAAACCTAAAATGCAATAAAATATTTATTTAAAAATGAAGACATATGCACAGGCATATCTCAGCAATATGGCAGGCTCAGTTCCAGATAACCATAATAACGCTAATGTTGCATTAATACAAGTGATACAATATTTTTTGTTTCCCAGTGCATATAAATGTTATTTCTACACTATAACTTAGTAAATTAAATGTGCAACAGCCTAATGTCTAAAAAAGTATTAACTAAAACATACTTAGGGTTTAGTTAAGCTAGCCATAGACCTCTCCTCTCTAGATGTGGAAGTCTTATGCAGCATCTTCTATCAAAAGAAGGCTGTTTCATTGACACTGAAAATCTGTTGTTTAGTGTAGCCACCTTCATCAATGATATTAGCTAGATCTGGATAACTTGGTACAGGTTCTCCATCTCAGCACTTGCTGATTCATCTTGTGCTTTTATGTTACAGTGATGGCTTCTTTCCTTCAACCTCATAAACCAACCTCTGCTACCTTCCGACTTTTCTTCCAAAGCTTTCTCACCTCTCTCAGACTTTGCAGAATTAAAGATAGCTAAGACCTTGCTCTAGATTAGGCTGGAGCAAAGGGAATGTGTCAAAGCACGAACTCAGTGCACCATTTTGTCAGAAAGTCTGGATAGATTTCAAAAGCACTAAATAATAATGGTATTCATCTATTCTTGTCTTCTAAGCCTGTTGCTCTAAGTTTCAGGGTTCAGCAGAAATGTGTCAAAACTTTCTCCATATCCACAATAAGGCTGTTCTGCTTTCCTATCATTTGTGTATTTACTGGAGTAGTGTTTTAATTGCCTTCGATTTTTCCTTCACATTCTCTATTTGGCTGTTTGGAGCAAGAGGCCCAGATTTCAGCCTATCTTGACGTTCAACATGCCTTACTCACTAGTAATCATTTCTAGCTTTTCACTTAAAGTGAGAGATGCACATTTCCTCCTTTCACTTGAATACTTCGAGGTTACTGTAGTTGGCCTAACTGCAATATTGCTTGGCCTCAGAGACTGGGGAGACCCAAGGAGAGGAAGAGGGAAATGGGGGAATGGCTGACTGGTGGAGCAGTCAGAACACACACAACATTTATCAGTTAAATTTACCATTTTACATGGGCATGGTGCATGGCACCCCAGAACAGTTACAATAGTAACATCAGAGATCACTGGTCACACATCACCATAACAAACATAACAGTCATGAAAAAGTTTGAAATATTGTTAGAATCACTAAAATGGGATACAGACATGAAGTGAGCATATACTACTAGAAAACTGACACTGGGGCCAGGCACATTGGCTCACACCTGTAATTCCGGAAGTTTGGGAGGCACAAGCAGGCGAATCATGAGGTTAGAAGATCAAGACCATTCTGGCTAACATGGTGAAACCCCATCTCTACTAAAAATACAAAAAATTAGGCATGGTGGCATGTGCCTATAGTCCCAGCTACTCAGGAGGCTGAGGCAAGAGAATTGCTTGAACCCAGGAGGCGGAGGTTTCTGTGAGCTGATATCATGCCACTGAGCTCCAGCATGGGCCATAGAGTGAGATTCTATCTCAAAAAAAAAAGAAAAGAAAAGAAAGAAAGAAAAAAGAAAATTGGCACTGATAGACTTGCAGGACGCAAGAATGTAGACCTTCAGTGCGTAAAAAATGCAACATCTGTGATGTGCAATAAAGCAATACAGAACAAAACAAGGTATATCTGTTTTATTTATTTTGTATGCACACAAAAATGTGTTTATGTATCTATGTATCTATATGTGTGTACATATATACACACATGTTTGTGTGCATACATATTTTATCATTATTTTCATTGCAAAAAGCTAAGAGATCATATAAGATCACAGCTTTAAGATTTTAAACAATATAACATATTAACATTTATATACAAATACCATAGATACTTCTCATCTTCTTGCAAACATATATTTCGAACCCTTCCTCTATTGGAGATAGGAATTTATCCATATTTCTTCATCGAATTTCCAATGTGACGGGTATCTTATTTTCAAGTTAATAAAGAGCTCTAACTCATAAGTGGTACAAGTTCACAGCTTTGGCACAAATACAGTGGAAACATATTAAAAATGAGTTAATGGTTTCAATATAAAAAGTTTTACTTTTTTCTTAACAGTTTAGTTAAAAACTGACCTTTGGCTTTATAAAATTTATAAACAAAAATTATATTTAATAGTTATAAATTTTCCTTTAATGGTAGAAAACAAATTATGAATGCAACTAATATTTATTGGCATTCATAAAGCAAATAACATTGTACTGAACATAAGAAAATAAACTGAGCCACTTATTTTGTATTTTTCTTTCTTGATTAATATATGTACAACATAGAGTAATTCCAAAATTAAGCCAAAAATTCATAAATAAAATTCATAGAAAACTTAGGTTTCAAAATGTTCCCATGAATAATATCTATTTTTTGGTACACTGGCTTTCAGACATTATATTTTAATATCTATAAATACTTATGTGGCTGAGCACACCGGCTCACACCTGCAATCCCAAAACTTTGAGAGACCAAGGTAGCAGGACTATTTGAGCCCAGAAGCTTGAAACCAGCCTGAGCTACCTAGCAAGACCCTACCTCTATAAATTTTGTTATGAAAAATTAGCCAGGCATGCTACAGCATGCCTGTGCTGCTTGGGAGACTGAGGTGGGGGATTGCTTGACCCTGGAAGGGCAAGACTGCAGTGTTTTACAATTGTGCCACTGTTCTCCAACCTGGGAAGAAGAGTGAGACCCTGTCTCAAAAACAAACAAACAAACAAACAAAAACAGTTATTACATCTATCATCCTAGAAATTGGTATTCTTTCTTACCAAAGTAGTCTAAGTAACAAGGCATTTTGTGCCATGTAGCTCATTCACTCAGGCTGATGATATTTTAAAAATAAACAGTTCATGAATGGGACATTGGTGCTACTTCCTGAAAGCAAAATTCTTTTAATCGATTATAGTTGCTGCATGGAAAACATATTTGGTAGTAAAGTATGTAAGACTATGGATGTATATACCCATTTTGTACTAAAATAAAATCTATATGCAGCAGATCAATATTTCTGATGGCAGAGAAACTTTGGTCTTGGGCCATGAGAATGAAAACTACAAGCCCTTCAGGGCACACACACCTAACATAAAACAGGATGGATATTTATTTTATTCTTGATTTAAATTCAACTAGTACTCTTATTAAAATACCTTAGCAGTTTAAATAATTTTCAATAAACTATAAGGTAATTTAATGGGGAAAGAATAATAATTTATTGTGTGTGTGTTATGCACTTTACCATATTAATTTCATTTACTCCTCTAACACTTCTCTAAAATAGATTAATTACCATGATTTTTAATGTTGAAAAAACTGAGGATCACTGTTGGAAAAAAAAGGAATCTGGTAAACGCAGAGGAATAATGTTTACATGGTTGTTCAAAGGCACTATAGGATGTTGAGATCATAGCTAACATATTTAAAGGCTAATAGCAAAAACTGATAAAGTCTGATCTACAAGTCTTAGGAACGTGACGCATTCTAAACCACCAGAAGTGGCCTGCAACTTCACAGGACACATCCACTACTATTGGCAAGGAGGTAAACTACCCACTTCCCTAACTGTTTTTCACAGCTGTATCTGTCACTGATGCATAGTTTCCATGTACTCCTCCTGATCTATTCTCCACCTTCTCTCCTCATCTGCAAGACTGGACTATAAGGACACATTAATAAGCCTTTTAAACTTCTGGTGTATGATTGGATTTGGCCAACGAGTAACACCAGCATTAGAGTAATACCGGGCAAAGAGACTCTTTAAGATCAGCATGGACTAACTACTTCCCTTAATTAAACGTCAGACCTCCTATCGAGTAGTCTTTTCCACTCTAGGCTCAGGGAACTGAACCTCTTCTCACACTCTTTTGTCTGTAAGTGATAAAAGCCCCACTCTTACTATCCCTTATGCCTTTGCTATGTATACCAATTCCCTAGTAAACAATCCCCTTATTAATATTTTTTCAATTTATGCAATATCAATACCTGTTTCTTGCCAGGATATTGACTGATACAACATCTGCTGAAATCTTGAACTTTGTGCTGAATAGAAGATGGCTATCAGAGGAATATTAGTAAAAAGACTCTTTCTAGTTTTCTGCTGTTCTTCCATATAATTAACCACGCTTAGTTTTTCATTTTTTTTTTTTTTTAGGGAAAGGGGATATGTTTGATAAAAACAGTATTGCTTCAGTTCAGATAAAAACTATAATTAAAAAAATGATGCTTCCAATGGAAAGAAAATATTCAATATGAAGTGTTTTTAAATATTGAACTCACGGATTTATCTAAACATTCCTAATGCCAGAAAATTTATTTTTATAAAAATAAAGGCCTGTAAATATCAATTCTTATTGATGTCCCTGTCTAAAATTGTAAACATCTCCAAATCCTTATTCCTACAACATTTAAACATGGGAAAGCCGCTGTAAACAAAGAAACCAATACTTTTTTCCTGCATCCCACTCCAATTACAACCTCCTGAAAGGGTTATCTACAGTCGATTTCCCTTTTTGACATTTCCCATTTGCTCTTAAAAAAGATTGACATCAGAATTCTGCCCTCCCACATCATAAATGTTCTCCCTCTAAGATCACCAAAAATCGCCTGTTTGGCTTTTTCCAATTTATATATTCTTTAGGCCCTCTGTTATTTGATCTCTCTGAAACATTTCAACCTGTAAATATTTTGATACTAAAGGATTTCTGCCTTTAAGCTCATCAGTCTCTTGTCACCCCACTATGTCTAGGATCACATCTTCTCAGTGTCTTCAATGTCTGCTTTTTCTTAATGGTCTTTTAGCTGTTCCTTCAGGTTCTGTCTGCCACTTTATCTCTTTCCTCTTTTATCTCATCTATACCCACAGCTTGAATAATCATATCCTGATAGCCATGTATCCCTATATTATCTTATTTTAGCATTTTAGCTCTCTCCTGAGCTTTATATGTACATTTCCAAACACATTCTGAACATTTCCATATGCATGGGTCCCAGGTCTCATAAATACAACACATCTAAAAACGAAGCCACATCTTCCCCCAACACATCCGTCTCCTCTTATTTTCCCTAGGTCAAGCAATGGCACATAAGCTGTCCTGATGCCCAAATCAGAAACTTGGAAGTCATTCTTTTTTTTTTTTTTAATTAACAAAAACCACTCAGACTGCATCTTCTCCCTTTTACTTTCTGGAAGGAAGAGAAGAACATAATCAACGGCAAATGGCAGTTGGAGCCGAGAAACACCAAGAGCTAGCTTCCTGCTCAGGAGAGAATGCTGTGCCTCCTCGTGCTTCTGGTGTCTGACATGTGCAGAAAAACTTCTCCAGAAGCAAACCGTAGACATGATCCCTGAAAGCAGTCTTGGAAATCACTGTTGATTCCTTTCCTTCCTCATCACCTGAGCATCCCTTAAGTCTATTCATAATCTTTACCTTATACCGTTATCTAATCAATTGCTTTGCATTTGAACTGTGACATCTTCTAGCCAGTCCCCCTTCTTCACTCTAATCCATGTCATATCCAACTTCAGTGCAGTTATGTGGCCCTGGCATGGTGGCATGGTGGTGAGGATTCTGCAAACTCTGGGTCCTGCTTCTCTCTCCAGGATTCTTTCTATATTTTCAACCACAGACTCTGCTCTAGCAATACAAAATATGCTTCAGTCTAACGACTTGTTCTCTACTCCTGGAACAATCCAGATCTCTGCTTTATTTGTCCAATGACTATTTGTCTTTCCGAATTCGGCTGTGTAATCACTCTTCTTGTTAAAACATAAAGATTCCATAGCACCATAGTTAGAGAGTTCCTTATGTGCCTTCTAACACAGAGTGCTTGACTCTGTCATAGGCCTGGTCATACAGTATTCCTGACTTTCACTGACTAGTCTCCTTCACTAATGTATAGCACATCTTCAGCCTGAGCTCTGACAGCGTCATATCCATCTGTCTCATCAATGTCTACATGGCCTTAGTTAGGCTCTTAATGAGGTTTGTGAATAAATGAATGAATGTGAGTTTATGAAACATCACTCTAAACCAGTAGGGGAGCCCCCAAAGACTGTTATGTCTTCAAATGCTGGGTGAATTATGACCACTGAATTCCTTTCTTCTGTAATTTTGCTCTAGCATTTTGTTCCCAGTCTATGTCTATTCCTAACATGGGCTTATTTCCCTTTTGGAACAGAACTTCATAGGACTAGTCAAACTCTGATTTTCCAAGAAATGCCTAAATTTATAAGGACACAGTGCTTTCCTAAGTGTCTCTTTAAATAGCAATTGTATTTGAAGCCAAATATCATATGACTATATTGAACGTAATATGTTTTCTATCAGCCAAATTACATTAGTGCTCTGATGGGAACAGGGATAAGTAATTTGGCAGACTTTCTCTTTTCTATTCACCTCCATTTGCTTACCTTTCTTCTAAGAAAAGATTATAAGACCTGACAGGCTGGCTTTATCTCAGAGAGAATACACAGGTAGGAAATAACAGGGAGTTGGAAAAACAATTTATTACCTGGAACCAGGAAAAGAGTTTCACTGATTTAAGGCTAAAGCCTTTAAACATCCCAAGGCCATCTCTCTTTTCTTTCATTTACCTTTACTCCTCTTCCAAATGTTCCAGATTTCTGGAGGTCTGTACTACACAGGACCCTAAAATAACCAGCCCTTCTGCCCTTCCCTCTTTCCCTCCTTTCCTCCTTTCCTCCCTCCCTCCCTCCCTTCCTTCCCCCCTCCCTCCTTCCTTCCTTCCCTCCCTCCTTCCTTCCTCCCCTCCCTCCAGCTGTCCCTCCCTCCCTCTCTCCCTTCCTCCTTCCTTCCCTCCTTCCTTGCTTCCCTTCTTCTCTACTTCCTTCCCTCCCTCCTTCTCTTCTTCCCTCCCTCCCTCCTTCCCTCCTCCATTTCTCCCTTCCTCTATTCTATCTATCTCCCTTTCATTCTTTTTTGTTGTTGTTGTTAAATAGAGTCTCACTCTGTCACCCAGGCTTGAGTACAGTGATATAGTGGCACGATCATAGTTCACTGCAGCCTCAAACTCCTGTGCCCAAGAAATCCTGCCACCTCAGCCTCCAGAGTAGCTAGGACTACAGGCATGCACCACCACATCTAGTTATTATTACTGCTACTTTTCTATAGATGGGGTCTCACTATGTTGCCCAGGCTGACTTTAGCTCCTAGGCTCAAGGGATCCTCCCCCCTCAGCCTCCCAAAGTGCTAGAATAACAGGCCTGAGCTACTGCACTCAGCCTCTTTCAATGTTCCCCTCTTATAGTTACATTTCAAACTGTTTTTTACTAATCAAAAAATTATGATCATTAACATATAGTTTATGAACCTCTATCACTGAAGCCCTCATCCAAAATTACAATATGGTATAACAAAATACAAAGTAAGGAAGCAAACAAATAACTAAATAAAATGTTAAGGGTGTTTGGACACCACCATGATTATGTATTCACTTTAAGATGTGTATAATTACTTCTTACCTAACATTCTTCCTTCCCTACCTGACAGTGGCTAATTACAATAAAAAGCAAAGGTACTGAATCCAGAGCTTGGGATTTTACATGCATTTGCTCAAATGGTCACAGGCTTGTAAGTTAGGTATTACTGAATTCATTACATGGATGACAAAACTGAAATTGGCAGCACTCAACCTCCCCAAGATTGCACACATAGTAACAGGGATGAAATTCAAAACCATGTCTTTAGGATGCGTTATCCCATTAACTCTTAATCACAAGACATGTACTCAGGTAATTATCCAGATCCAACCCCTAACTATGTATACCCTTTAAAATAAATATTTGTCACCTGATCAAAGAGAGAATATCTATCAATATGCCCTTTACTTAAGCCATCATCAAGAACCTTTATGATAGGAAGAAATTCTAACCACATTTTTTCAAACCACATCTGTAAACACGTGTTAATGAGATAAAAACACATAAGGGGATGACTCAGATGTCAATAGAAAAGGAAACAGATAGGTTTAACAGAAATTAGTGTGACCACAAATGGAGTGTTGCTAGAAACGCTAAGCAAAGGACAGATGCCTTGTTTTGCAACATAACAGAAAAAGCTACGTTATTGACGATAAAATCACGGTAAGGTTCTAGGAAACTTCATTTCATCTGTAGAGCTTTCTCTCTCATTTTAAAGTGGCATTCCTTCCCTTGCACACAGAATTAGTGAAAATAACTCACAGCAGACGAGTTCATCTTCATTAAAGTGGCAGTCAGGCACCCCATCGCATAGCAGGAGGGAAGGGATACATTCGTCTGTAGAGCACAGGAACTCCATGTTACTACAGAGTGGAGGGGTGGGGCTGAGTGGACAATCCATTTCATCAGATCCATCTATGCAGTCTTCATGTCCATCACATTTCCCTGAGAGAGGGACACAGTGGAGTGTGTAGATACAAGAAAACTGATCGGCTTCACAGGGTGATGGCTGCACTGTGACAGGACCTGAAAAACAGAGCAAGTCAAGTTGTTTCGGCTTTAGGGAAGTTACCTCCATCTGGTATTAAGACACTGCAGGTTGCATTTATTATTGTACAAAATAAATCTGGTTAATTGAAGTAAATTAATTTCAAATTAGGAATAATATGAAGCCTATAAAACATGCAAACTTGATTCAAGAATATGCCTTATCATAATCTCAGGAACAACATTAACATTTATTTTAATTTCAATAATTTGGGGGAATTATTAATAATTTTTAATAATTCCCACCAATTACTGAAATTATTGAATTATTAAACTATTTTAATTTTAATAATTAAAATAATTATTTGATTATTGGTTGCACTGATAACTTCTTTAGTGGTGCTTTCTGAGACTTTGGTGCACGCATCACCTGAGCAGTATACACTGTAACTGATAGTCTTTTATCTCTTACCCCACTCCCAAACTTTCCCCTCTGAGTCCCCACAGTCCATTATATCGTAATTATGCCTTTGCATCCTCATAGCATAGCTCCCACTTATACATGAGAACATACAATATTTAGTTTTCCATTCCTGACTTACTTCACTTAGGATAATGGCCTCTAGCTCCATGCTGGTTGCTGCAAAAGACATTATTTCATTCCTTTCTATGGCTGAGTAGTGTTGCATGATGTATATATGCTACATTTTCTTTATCAACTCGTTGGTTGATGGGCATTTAGGTTGGTGTCACATCTTTGCAACTGTGAATTGTGCTGCTATAAACATGCATATGCATGTGTCTTTTTTATATAATGACTTTTTTGGGGGGTAGATACCCCAGTAGTGAGATTGATGGATCAAAGGGTAGTTCAACTTTTAGTTCTTTAAGCCATCTCCATCCTGTTTTCCATAGCGGTTGTACTAATTTACATCCCCGCCAGCAGTGTAAAAGTGTTCCCTATTCACCACATCTGTACTAACATCTATCATTTTTTGCCTTTAATTATGGCCCTTCTTACAGGCACAATACTTTTTTAAAAGGCATCATTGACATGAAAACTGACACCTTCAAATTAAAGAAGAAATTTTGGTTTCTATGCCTTCAATTGGACTACTAAATCAGATTGTGCTAGAGAGTAAAGATACTTCCACTCAGTAAATTAGAAACTTTGGAAAGGTACACTTACAATTTTACAGTTTAAAGGAATTGTTACAGTATCAGAATATTGCTTATGTACTGCCTGTTAGTGGCCTCCACCCAGGGAATCTGGCTCTTGAAACCCTGGGCAGGGTTGGGCCACAGAAGTAGAGATCTGCTATGGTTTTGTCACACTGCACTCTGTCCTTGAATCTTGCTTACTGGTCAAAGGCCATGTGCTGCCATATTTAAAGCCAGATAAAATCATAGTGTAATCTCAGATGTTACACTAGGAATCTTGAAGATAACCTGCTTCAAACCCAGCCAGCTCATTTTACAAATGAGGACACTGAAGCCCACATATTTTAAATATCCAAATGCTCAATGCTAGTGTAATAAACTTTTATCACAGAAAACTTTTCTGCAGCAAAGGTTTGAGTCCACATTAAGTCAAACTTAAAGCAGAGGCTGAGTGTTGAGTGTTGACTATCATGCTTCTAAAGGTGAGGGAACGTATGTGAATATATAGGACTGCACTAATTGGTGATTAGCTGGAAGGTTCTCATACTGTGTGTTGTCTCTGTGCTAGTTAGTGAGGGACTCATCAATCTTATAAGGGAAAATACAGTGCCAGATAGTAGTGGAGGCCAGTTCAGAAGTGGTTTATTTTTTCTTGACATTTTAAACTATTTTTATGTATGGGTTGTATGAGAATAATTTATATTATATGTAAAGATGATACAGCAAATTCATTTTCAAAATTAGATTTGAAAGTCCCAGGCTGGGCGCGGTGGCGGGTGGATCACGAGGTCAAGAGATCGAGACCATCCTGGTCAACATGGTGAAACCCCGTCTCTACTAAAAATACAAAAAATTAGCTGGGCATGGTGGCGCGTGCCTGTGATCCCAGCGACTCAGGAGGCTGGGGCAGGAGAATTGCCTGAACCCGGGAGGCGGAGGTTGTGGTGAGCCGAGATCACGCCATTGCACTCCAGCCTGGGTAACAAG